AGCCCTCCCCTGCCTCCTAAGGCGGTGGAGCATGTTGGGGGGGGATGCTTTTCAAGAAGTCACAAGGAAGGCTAAGAGCTGGTTTCTGTCCCACAAGTAAGATTTGGTCCAGAACCAACGCCAACATGAAGGTCTTTTATTTGCTCCTTGTACTCCTTGTCTTTGCATTTTTAACAGGTAATAAATTAAATTTCTGATAACGTAAAAATAGCTCATAACTCACCTTTCTTGATAGCTATTATCATGTCTAAAAGCAAGATACTCTTCTCCACCTTTTGTCTGGAGTACCATTTAATCCAGAGCCTTTTAATTCCAGAAGTCCAAGTTTAAAGAATGGACTTCTGGAATTAAAGCTCCATTTTTTAGCTAAAACTTAATTCACACCTGTTAGTTTTGTTTGAGCAGTGTGAACAATTGACAGTGTGATCCTCCAAAGGTCTGAAAAATATATCATTGATTTTTCTTTGGCATTTAAACTAGATAACTAATGTGAAAAAGTGCATCAAGGAAGGACTGGAAAGCCAATTCATACTGAACTGTATTGGGTTTTCTGTTGTTATTTGAATAAAATGAAAAGAAATCAAATAGTGGTACCTAGTGCGGAAAAAGAGACAAAATAATGGGTCATTCTCAACACTTGAATTCTCTACACTTAAAATATCAAAAATTATTATGGTTAAGTGAGCTTTGCCCCATTTTACGATTTTTCTTGCCATGGTTCAAATCAAAGTTCAAATCAAAGATTTGATAGTTCAAATCAGAGATTTGATAGTTCAAATCAAAGATTTCTGAGACCAATGTTGAATACTTAAATTTCAGTAGTCACCAATCCCAGTCTTAAAATGAGTTAGAATCAGTGGGAGTCACTGATAACAATGAACTAACTAGCTACTGATAATGAGTCGAGTCCTGCCTTTCTTTTCCTTCTGTCCAAGTTTTGCAAGTACTTTTTCCAGGTATATGTTTTATTCCAAAGTATACAAACCATTATTGTTAGGGAAAAAATGGGTCTTCCAAACAATTTTAAAAGACACTGTCAGAATGAGTCTGCTCTCAGCCCCCCTTGTGACTCCTTGAAAAGCATCGCCCCCACCCCCCACATATGTAAATGAAAAGAATAAGCTTAAAAATCCTAGCCTTTTAAAATTGAAAATATGGAGAATTGGGAGGATGAATATGAGACACTAAGGGAGATGTTTCAAAAAGTAAGGGAGGCATTTAAGGGAAATAAAGAAGCAGAGAATTGGTTAGCTTGCAAAAAAAAAAAGGAAGAGAAAAGATGAATGAGAAGCAAGAGAAACAAGGAGATAACATTGAAAAGGAAATAATTGAAAAAAAGATAAAGATGATTACACTGGGTTCAATAGAAAAAAATGGAATAAGATGAAATATACTGCTAATAATTAAAAAGATGAGGGGAAACTTTGAGAAATATACTTGATAAATGAAAGAAAGACCGGGGTTGCCTGAACTCCATAATGGAAAATATAAAATTGAAAATGAATACAACAATAGAGAGGGATGAAGGAAGGAGAAGAGAGATGGAAGAAGGAAGGAGAGAGAGGGAAGGAAGAGAAAGGAGGAAGGAAGGAAAAGGAAATTAGATATGAGTGAGGGTAAGAGAGGGAGGAAGAGAGAAGGAGAAAGGAAGAGGAAGTAGGGAGGAGAAGAAGGGAAGAGAAAGTAAGAAGGAAAAAAAAGAGAGAGGTGGTAGGTTTGAGGAGAAAGATTGCTGTACAATAAAAAAGATGAAAGGGAAGAAAACCAACCCCAAACAAATATTGTATAAAGATATTAAGATAAAGAATGAATTGTTAAACTTTAAAGAATAAAAGAGAACAAATATGAATAAATAGCAATAATTAGAAACACACATACAAACATACAATGTATTTTCTTTGAACAGAGTATTTGGCCGGTTCACAAATTTAAACAGTGTTTAGTCATTTCAATTAAATTTACAATTTCTATATTTCCTTTTTGCCATATTTATTCCTCATCTATTTTTTTAAAAACCAATATTACCCTTCATCCTCATCTCTAATCTTAATCAAATTCAATTTTTCCCTTCTATTCTATATTATACCCCTTCCCATTGTCATCTATTTTTATATCCATCCTCACATTGGTTAATTATGTAATATTACAGTTGTTTAATACAAATTCAACATTTTAATATAAATCAATTAGTTATATAACTATCTTTTTTGTATATTAATCAATATGAACATGAATATTCCAATTATTTCCATGCCATCCAATTTCTTACAAATCAATTAATTATATTTACCAATAATAACAAACCAAATAATTTCCCCCATATATTCCTCCAAACCACAACTTAATCATTTCTGCTTTCAACACAATATACAATTAATAGTATCTCAATTATTACAATTCCCTAGTTAAATAGAGCTTTTTTTCTTTTGTGTTTTAAAATCTTGAACGCTCCTCTTTTTCCCTAAATTTCCCATTGTTTGCACCTACCTTTTTTGGTGAGGAAAAAGAAAAGAAATCTGCCTCTGCCTAATTTTCCAACGTTGCAGCAAACAGCAAAGCCAACAGCCTGCTTTACTTTAAGTTTCGTTTTCAGCTTGATTTGCACAAGGAGAAAAAAAAATCTGCTCCAGCAATTTAGCTCTTTGCAGCAAGCAGCAGAGCCTGCGCAAAACAGCTGAGAGCAAATCAGCTGAGAGTCGGGAGGCCGATCTAATCAAGGGGCTAATTAGCCTATGCTGAAGCTGAAAGGAGTTGTTTTTTCTTGTTGTTTGCTTGCAAGGAGGTAACTGCACAGGTCAAAGGGTGGGGGCCACACTCCTTGCCACTTAGCGCCCCCCTGCCACCCCCTTTTGCCTCTAGCGCCCCTCTTGCCTCTTACCACCCCCCTAAGGCATTCCACCGCCCCCCCCAGGGGGTGGTACCACCCACTTTGGGAACCACTGGTCTACTCATTTGTTTTCTTTTAACACTGAGGGCGGCCCTTTGAAACCCCGTGGCAAGAGTTTAAACAGTTTTTTCCCCTCTAGCCGATCAGCTGGGACTCAGGAGGCAGCAATAGATTGGGGGTGGGGGCAAATTAAAGGTAAGAATAATGCGGCAGGGGGGCGGGGGGCTGGAACCGGTTTGGTGATGTCATATCATCACTGCTACCAGCTCCGCGGAACCGGGCCGAACTGGGAGGAACCCACCACTGCTGCGAGGCCAATAAAATTACAAAAAAACACTGAACCATTTGTTAAATTGCTGGCTCGCCTGCCCCTCGCCCACCACTATTTATTGGCAATAAATAGTGGTGCGGAGGGGCGGGGCAAGGGGTGGGGCGAGCCAGCAATTTAACAAACGGTTTGGCCGAACCGCCTAGAACCTGCAGAATCCCACCACTGACCTACACCCATACACATATATACATACATACATATATTAATCACTGTCCATTTTGAATACATAGTGGAAAGAAGAAACTTGAGAGTTCACAAGGTTGATACTATATGGCACCTATGGCTAACCTTTTCTGGACCGAGTGCCCAAAACGCGAATGCGCACGTGCACGCCCAAACCCCCAAAATGCAATGTGTGTGCGCCCTCGCATGCACCCTGCTCCCCCACATGCATGCACCCCCACGCATGCACCCCCACGCATGAATGTGTGGCCCCCCAATGTGCGCTCTGCCCCTGTGCATGCGTGGCAGAGACCCAGCAGGAGGCGCACATGCCTGCGCGGCGGATCTGAGCTAGGGCGATGGCTCGCGTGCCCACAGAGAGGGTGTTGCGTGCCACCTCTAGCACACATGCCATAGGTTTGCCATCATAGCTATATGGAAAAGGACTGTGACTGAATCTAGATGTTCTGCTTTGGATACCATGAAGCCTCCTCCCAGAAGGTAACAAAACAGGTCATGAATAGGATGTGTAGCATCCCTGACAATACTGCAGATCCTGCTCAAGCATCGCTTGCTTATATGCTATGTCCTGGATAGAAGGAAGTAAACTACCAATAATATTTTCTTCCATCCTCGCCATTCTCCGTACTATCTTCCTGTCTGAAACAGTAATGCTGTCAAACCAGATAGTAATGCAATACGACAGGATGCTTTCAATCGTCTCTTTATTAAAGTAGTAAGGATAGAGGAAGGAAGATGTACTTTTCTCATGCGATGCAGAAAATGCAGACGCTGATGTGCCCGCTTTACCAGTGTCTCACTGTTGAGCGACCAAGCTAGCCTACTCATTAGTTGCATACCCAGAAACTTGATGCTGCTAACCACCTCCAAAGGTGAATCATTAATATACAGAGGTATGTGGCTGTGGCTGCCTTTTCTGAAATCAACAATGATAATTACAATGACAATTACACCAGTTCACCAAACCATCTACCTTCTTGTGGTAAGCACCCTCGTTGTCATCCTGAATAAGACCCACTACTGTTGTATCATACACATACTTCACAATATAGTTGGTGGCAAACCTTGCACAACAATCAATTTCACAATGATGTAAGGCAGTCAAATTATTTGATTATGTATAAGATTGCATACCTTTCTTACAGGCTAGTCCATCCTAGTTCACTGGAAAAAAATAAATTTTGGATATTGAATATTCCATTGTCAGCCAGTAAATACAAATACAATTCCAGAGTCAACCAGTAAGTACACATACATGTTCATAAAATCATATGCACATGTGCACGAACACCCACACACACAAACATAACATTCACATAATTTCAGATTATGTTAGGCTTATTCCATCTATAAGATCATTTTAGAGCTGAAAGAAAGTTTGTCTCCTTGATGCTGTTTGCACCATGTTTGGACCATGTTTGGTAAAACTAAAATGAGATAGAAAGTATTAATTATATTTAAGCAGAATTTCTAAACATAAGAATTCACAATAAATTGTTTTTCCCATTCTGTTTTGTGAAATTCAAATAAATGAAGTTGGACAGTATTGAATACATGCAGCCTTTAATAATTTGCTCTTTTTTTTTCTTGTATATTCAGTGCAACCAGTGTATCCAAGGATCAAAAATGTTATGGCAGCAGCTGCTGAAACTTATGCCAATATCAGTTGGGAATATGAGGGTCCAGTTCATGAGAACATTTATGTTGAATATGGTGTGGCAGGCAGTAAGAAGACATTTCATTGAATTCTTTTAAATGTATTGTAGTAATAGAAAAAGAACCAGTATTGATTTGCTTTTCTAAAGTTATTTCTGCTTTTTTAGGACACAGATTTAAGGGTCAGATTTTGTGGAAGTAATTTGTGTTTAATTCGATACATAGAACATTGGCTTCTTGTATTATCTTAGGATTTCTGCCAAGAGCAATTACCGTACTAAAACTTTTAACACACTTGTTTGACATAGCATGCCTGTCCCGACAAGTCACTTTGATGGTAAAGAAACAATAAAACAGACTGAATTAGTTCTTTCTTTCTCTCAGGAAGTAAATTAGCAGATAATTAGCCCCATGAAAGACATACATAGGTTTTGGATTGTGAAAGGAATGCTCCTTCCTTTTAAACTAGTATTTTTCTATTCAAATAAATATATATGGAACATATCAATAGAGTTTTCCTAGCATGGTTTGATTAGCAATATACAAAGTTGCTCACTGTGGAGTACATTTAGTCTTTCAAATCTCTTCATATTAGTTTTGCCATTACTGTCTTCTTGAAATAACTTAGTATTATTTTTTTAGACCACACAAATGTAAAGCAATGTATATTTTAAACTACATTTAACTATGGCATGCTTTCATTATCTGTAGTTTGATCTTCCTTCAGTTGTGATATTCTGAGGAAGTTTTATATAATTGCTTATTTTATCTGCCAGTTTCCATGTGAGGAAATGGTGCCTAGTGGGTCAACTTTGCATAAAGCATAAGCTTTTTAGCAGTTCCAAATAAAATGTAGTAAGCCAATCTGAATAGAAGTTTGTTTTTGTGGTTAATAAAGAAAAGGAAGAACCTGGTAAAACTTATAGTTTATAAAAGTTCATTGAGAATCTGTCCTTTTAATTGTGATTCCTTTCCTTTCACTTCTTAGTAAGCATAATTGATGTAAAGTATAACAAAATAAATGGAAATGCTGTTTATTATAATACACAAAAGATGCTTTAAAATTATTATCCCATGCAATTGCCTTCTTCATGGCAATTTTGAGCAGAATAGCATGAGGAATAAAATAATACTTAGAATATAGTTCTCTCAATGCTCTGTCTTAAGAAAAAATATTTTAAAGATCAGAATCTGAAAGTGACAAAATATCTCACCATGAATGAATGAATACAAATGCTGTGTTCCTAAAAATTTTATAGGCAAAGAAGAATTGAAAAAAGAAAATGCTAATGGTTCTCGGAGCTTCTTTCTCTTAAAAGGATTAACACCAGGAACATCATATAAAGTCCGGGTTGGTGCTGAGGGTCTTTCTGGTTTTAGGAGCTCAGAGGCTGTATTTGAGACAGGTCCAGGTGAGGCACACCATGCAATTCTGCCTTCCATTCAGAATTGTGATGTGTTAAGTGCTGGCATTTCAAAATAGTGTCATGTTCTCTTCACATATTTTAATGTCTTTTTTTCACCTCCTTAAAAGCTATAACTCAGAACTACATCAACTCATTTTTGTTCATACAATGGGTATCCATGCCATTCATTTAGAAAAAAGATATAGTTCTCATGTCTCCTTTTCAAATATGCTTTCTAATCCTCACATTATTTTTTCTATGTAGTATGCTTTTTATTAATGATGAAATACAACAATGTTTAAAAATAGTCAAGTCTAAATAAATTAAACATTACTAGCAGTTTTTTCTAATGGTAGGGTATTCAAAACCTCTACAAAATGTAATATTCATTGAATATAAATAGTGTATATACTATTGAATATTTTATTTAAAGTCTTTACTGTGTCAATTTGTAAATCAGTTTTTTACATACTGTATGTTGGAACATAATATTTAGAGACTCTCATAGGTTCTTTGAGAAATATTTCAGTGGCATTTGTTCAATTTGTTCACATATTTTTATAAAGCATTAGGGAGCAATCTTTTTCTATCATATGACCTATGGAGTAATTTGCAGGACTTTATGTTAATAGTCACAAGCTATGGATGGAACCAGTGGTAAAAGGGTGGCAGATTATCCACCTATTCAATTTTATTATTTTTGATACCTGACCCTTTCTTCTTTCTGTCTGGCTCTTGCTCTGTCCCTAAATTGCAGGTTAGGACAATTGCTAGAAAGCTGAATTAAGAGCATGCATCATCTGGCAAGTTGCCCACCTGTGCTGAAAAACATGGTGTTGAAATATTTTCACTCACTCACTATTGCACAGCATCATACTGCATGGACACTGGTTTTTTTTTTTTTTTATTGAAAAAGTTTTCAAATACAAATTCCCCCCCCTTTTTTTCCCCTCCCCCTCCCCCTCCCTAACCCCCCCTCCCCACCCATCCCCCCCTGTGACTTCTTCGTAACAAAAAACCTAATTCATAACAGATTACTTACTCCCTCCTCTAAATACTGACCTTTACTTACTAAGAATATTATTAATATTATAGCATCCCCCTTTATCCATACATTTCAAGAAAGAAAGAAAGAAAGAAAAAAAGACATTATACTATAACATTGTAAAATAACTTCTAATTTAGCATAATAGTATTATAACCCCCAATTTGGCAATAATCTGCCCTTTTTTTTTCTTCTCCCAAACTTATATCTATATATTATTACAACAAATCAAAACCACCTTCCGCTTTAAAACTATACAATAAATCCTACTTTAACATTTAATCTTCTGTATGTATTACTATAACATTTCAAAGCAGCCTTCCCCATAAAATCTAATTTAACATTTATTCCACTCTATCCATTTCCTCCACTCCCCTAAATATATCACTTAAAAATCCCTTTTCTTAAACTAATCAATCTGCAACCTAGCTTATTCACCCACTGTCCTGCAAAATTACCATACACAACAATTCTTAATATCTTTGATTCACTGCCCACGCTACTTAAAAATATATGTATATATATTCCATTATATCTAAATAAAAAAGAAAAGACAATGACTTTAAATTTATAGTCCATATAATATCTTCTTGAAAGTCTTTCCACTGGATTGTTAGGACCATCATCCATAATAGGGTAACATAGCTTGCTGATGCAACAGTTTATTCAAAATCTTCCATCATATCCGCCCCCATCAGTAGTAAATATCCTCTTATATGTATAAAAGTAAAAACAACCACCCGAGTGACATTATAATTATATTCCATATAGTAATAATTGTGGCTTTCATCAGGATTATTGATTCCCATCATCGTAGTGGGTAACAACCTGATCTTCTGCTTGCCCCCGCATAATTCTCTTGCCTTATGATTCAAGATAATTATAATATATTTATCAGCACAAAAAAGGAATTCCAAAGTGGATAATTCAAATCCATCAGTTTAAGGCTCTTTTCACATCCCAAGATTACGGCAATGCAGAGATCTGTCACTATCCTCAGGATAATATTGACCAATACGTCGCCTCCTCTATATTTTCACATACTCATTCATTTTTTAAAGTCACTGGCTTCACTGTTGCTTGATTTAGAAATTTCTATTTTGATGCAACCTATTTCTTTTTTTTCTTTTCTTTTTGTGGGTTTGATTTCGATCCTGGTTTCCTTTCTACAGATTGTGTATCAACTAATCGGTTTTCATTCTGCTTTGTAGATTGGTCTTGTTGGTTTTGTTTTTGTGTCTCATGTTTCTTTTTTATCCCTTGTATATCCCCTAATTGGTTTCCATGCTTGTCCTTGACTTGATAAGTCATCACGTTAAAGTCAGATGCCACTTCTCTCAAATTTGTAGATAATCCAGCTGGGGTATCCGAAAAATCCAAAGGCAATTTATCTGGTACAGTCTCTGTAATTCGATATTTTCCCTTTATTTCCAGCTCCTTCTGCTTATCCTGTATTATACCTGAAGATGTTAAGTTCATTTTCAACCTATTTTGATAAAATTCTTCCGCTCTTTCAACAGTATTTAGCTGGTATCTTTCTCCTTGATATCTCAATATGATACCAACTGGGGCGTCCCACCTAAATGGGATATTTCTCTTTTTTAACTCAGCCACCAGAAAACCAAATTTCTTCCTTTCCGTTAATATCTTAGGTGGGAGTTCTTTGTAAATCCAAATCTTTCTTCCATACAATTGCAAATTAGAATTGAAGGAATTTTGCACAATATTATTCCTAATTTCTTTATCTGTAAAATAAATCACCACATCTCTAGGCAGTTGCCTTTGCTTGGCAATCCAGGAATTTATTCTGTAAACTCTGTCAATCCTACAAAACACGTCCTCAGGTTGAACCTTTAAAATCCCAGCTAGAATTTCAGAAGATATTTTCCTTAAATCATCTCTGTTATTTTCCTGCAAACCTCTCAGTCTTATCGCATATTCTGTAAAATTATATTGTACCATTAGAACTTCTCTTTCAATCCTCTGTTGCAGATTTTCTACGTTACCAGACTTTTGATCAGACTCCATTTTAGGTTTTTCTTCTGAGCTATTATCCTGAGTGTTTATCAAATCATTTTCAATTTTTTGGATTCTATTGTCCAATTTATCTTGAGTTTCTTCCATTTTAGACTCTAGTAAATTAATATTTGTATCCAACTGTATCATAAATTCTGAAAAACCATTAACCACTTTTAAAATTTTTCGCTCCAAAAAATCAAACTTAGATTTCACCATTTCTTTAATTTCCTGCTTAAATTTTTCAAGATGCTGATTCACAATCTCATCCCTTCTTTCAATCTCCTCCAAGAGAAATTCTATTATATTGAAATCAGGTTTCTGAGACTGGAGAGTTAAAACTTGTTCCTTTAAATTGTTAGTGGGGGAATCCCCCCCCACTACTTGTTTGTCTGACTTTATAAGTCTCAGTGCCATGTTTCCGCCCAGACAAGCTTTGTTAAAAGAAAAAAAAAAACAAGAATAAAGACTTCTTTCCAATCAAGAACAATGTCAAGTGTCCAGGGAGAAAAAAGAGAGAGAAAAACACAGGAGCGAAGTTTTGTCTGCAGATGTAGCCAGTGGTATTTATTCCGCTACATTGTAATAATAGAAAACGGAAGGACTTTCCCTTTCAGCCTCTTCTCCAGCCGCGGCAGACGCCATTTTAAAAAGCTTTTTTTTTCCCCCCCTTCCTTTCCTCTTCTCTCTTAAGTAGTTTTTTTGAAAAATAAGTAAAATACTTGCGATTCAGTATTACAGGTCCAGCTCACATTTTCTTTGAATAATCTGTTAAATTCGCAGGCTTGCTTTTGACGCCTGGCTCTGCATTAGCAGAGGTCTCCCAAAGCCCGGAGCAGCGGCTGGGGATATGGGGCATCTCATCCGCTCCGTCCCAAAAGTAAAAGAAAAACTTTTGGGACTATGCAGAGAGTTCTACCCACCCCTGCCGGCTCTATCTCCGTTTCCTCATGGAAACGGAGTTTTTTCGAGCTGCCATTCCGCTGTGAAGGCGGCTCTAACAAGCAATGGAAGCTGACGATCCCGAAGGAACATCTGGCGGCGGCCAGCAGCAAACCGGAAGTCGACACTGGTTTTTATAAATGGAATTATATCTCTAAACTTAAATTTGTAAAATAAAGTAACCTGTCAGGAATGGTCCAATACCCCGAACTTAAATGATATTTTAGATCAGTAGCTTCATGTGCTCATAGCAGTGTATGTTGGTTGTTTGATATGTAAAGAGAAGTACAGAATGCTGTTCTGCAATTAATGTTTCTTCTGTTTGCAATAAAAGAACTGACATGAGAAAAGCCCTTGCATTCAACATCTAAATATTATTTCAAATAATGGATTAGATTCAAAGCTTATAGTTTATAGATAACTTTTATCAGCTGAAACAGGTAGGTAAAAAGGTCTGAACCCTCTTTATCTCACAGCATTTTTATGCCTGAAATACTATTTAATACAGTTGGGTACCTTTTTCTGCATGACAGTACAACTCTCCAAACTCTTTGTGCCCTGTCAACACTGTTACAGATGTCCATCTTACAGGATGGAAAATAGAGAGAATATTTGAAAGAGTGGCTGGGTGACAAATATCAATAAGCCAACATTGGAATTAATATGGCCGTATTCTTCTAAACATTTGAATAGACTTGGCACATTTTTAAAAAATTTATTTTTCCTTGAATCCATCAAAAATCTGTCTTGGAAGGCTACAATAGTATCTCAGCTATACAAAAGCCTTAGATTCTGTCAGTTCTCTGTGCATCAAATTCTATAAAATCCAAGCTCCTTTAAATTAAATAATTTGGATACCAAGTTTTTTTGTTGTTGAATGGGACTGACTTACATCTTGCTAAACCCACTGGAGTTTGGAAAACATTTTTTAAGTTTTCATTTGAAATTTATAGATGCATTTCAAGACTAAAGAAAGCTCAACAATAAAGTTCAAGAATCTTCCTGACTTCCTTAAAGACACATCATTTCTCTGAAAATTGAATTTTTTCCAAAGTTTTATTATTGGAAAGTGGAAGCGGCAGGAATATTTTATGGGCTATTCCTTCTCTAGTCAAACCATATTATAAGGAAGATAAACTGTTGCAGAAGAGGTTGATTAATATGAAAGAATCAATAGGAATCAGTTCTATTTCTCTTGGGTGGTAGAATTTTTTCATTCAACATTCAACTCTGATTCTGGATCTAAACCAACAGCTATTTCCTTAACTCTCCAACTGGAGAGTTCTCTAACTGGAAGTAAACAGGAAAAAGATCTAAAAGTTGCTTAGTTGCTCAAGAACCATTCTACAGCTTCTGAAAAGATTTCTGTTTAACATTTACTTTAGTTATGATTTGATTTTAATTAAGTACAGTAGAATAAATTCGTATGACTTGCCTGTATTAGCAATGTTTGTATTTTTTAGAGAGAAAAATACACTTGAAGCAGACTATATATGTAGTGGAATTATACATAATTATGCAATTTAAATAAACAGTAGTGGCTTATAGAACTCTATATGCTTTTACCAGAACATACAGAAATAAAATACTGGAAACTCTGTAAGTTGTTATCGTAGCTTATATATTAATATGTGTTAAGCATGTACTGTTTTGCAGAGTTGGCATGGCATTCCATACTGAATTTTAATGTAAAATGTACATGTTTTCCTTTAATACTTGACACTGTATTTTTAATATCAAATAACTGCATGTTTGGAAAAGCTTAAATTGCTTTAACCTATTAAACATTATTTGTTTATATTATCCTATTTAAAGTTAGCTTTTTAAAAGACATTTTTTTCTCAAAAAACCATTTTGTTCTTTTTATATTCTATAAAGATATGCTATCCTTTTCCAAATGCATAAATTTGAACAAATCATATATATTATAACTATATTAGAAATTCTATTGCATTCTTTTACATGAACATAAATTCAAGTGTAACTGGTTCTTCTAAATGAACTAAAGTGCCCCTAAACCATAGACTTCTGAGGAGATATGTAGTGCACAGAGAGATCTCCTTTAAAAATCTGTGAGAAATGTTTCCAGGGTAATTATTTGTACATTCAACTGTGGGTCAAAGGACAATTCCCAAACCACTGCCACAAATGTTTTTATTAGAAGAGTAGGGCAAGTATAAGGGGAGAGAATACTTGTTTTTACACATTTAGTATTTTAAAATGCAAATATCAACAATACTGTCAAATGTTTTTAAAAGACCAAAATATATTATTTCTAATTGTGATGTAAATTAATTCATAAGAATGCAAAACTGGTATGAATTAATGCCTCTTTTTCATTCTTAGCAAAGGCAAGTCGGCAGATTGACATTGCCACTCAAGGATGGTTCATTGGTCTTATGTGTGCAGTTGCTCTTCTCATCTTGATTTTGCTCATTGTTTGTTTCATAAGGAGAAATAAAGGTGGAAAATATCCAGGTAAGTTTTGGATCTACTGATTTAATCTTTAAAAAAGAAAATGTTTTTTTTTTATTTAAATGTAATATTTCTACCACTGCTACTAAGATTCAAAATAAAAGAAGTAAATCTTTAAGTATTTGCTACCGGTAGTCCTCAGGCTACAACTATTCATTCAACAACTGATTAAAGTTATAATGGCAGTTAAAAAGGGGGACTTAAGACAGTTTCTTGGAGTTCTGGCCATCACAGTCAAGTGATTGTGATTCTGAACAAAGCAATGGCAAACCAGTAGGAAGTCAGAAGTCATAATCACATGAAGTCACTTATGTGAAGCTATGTGAAGATTATGTGAAGTCACCCACATAATCCTCATTTAACAATGATAACCCGGACTGCTGTAATTTCATTTCTAAGCCATAATGTGACATAATGCTTTACAACCTTGTTACTTAGCAACAGAGTTCTAGGTTCCAATTGCTGTCATAACTAGATAATTACCTGTATATAGTTAATTTGTTTTGGCTTAGATTAATATCCAATTTTTTCCAATATGGTTTCAAAGTTACAACTATTCTATTGTTCATCTGACTGGCTATAACATTTTAGAACACTACCAAGAAAAGGATCAACACACAGCGGGATAAAAAAAAGAAAATCTGAAGTACTCATTCTGAACAATCCAACTATAGCCAACTATTGCCCCAATTTCCAGTAGGACTGTAAAAATTGTGAAAGTTACGAATGCCTAATTTAATGTGCTAGCAATACAATTGCTATTTGCTGTATGCATGGAGCTATGGAGATAACCTTGAAGAAGCAGTTCAGAAAGTGTTAAGACAACAGCAGGTACAGAAGTGTGCTTTGAGCCAAAGGTGAAGGGAAAGTATTACAGAGAGACTTAGTCTGTCTTTCCTTGTATCTCCCTGGTTATATGGAAAAGGAAAGGGCAAGCAGTACTGGAGTGACAAGATTTATTTTTTACTAAGACTAGTTTTGGTCTTTTTGTGGAATATGTTTCCTGGTATGAAAACCTTTTAGAACTGAGACAGGCAGACATATATGTATATTCTCCACGAGCTGCACTGGCTCCCTATTGGTCTCCGGTCACAATTCAAGGTGTTGGTTATTACCTTTAAAGCCCTACATGGCTCAGGGCCAGGTTATCTTCGAGACCGCCTTCTGCCGCATAGCTCCCAGCGACCGGTAAGATCCCACAGAGTTGATCTCCTCCGGGTCCCGTCAGCTAAACAATGCCGGCTGGCGGGCCCGCGTGGGAGGGCCTTTTCTGTGGCTGCCCCAGCTCTCTGGAACTAGTTACCTCCTGAGGTCCAGACCATCCCCACCCTATTGGCCTTCCGAAAAGCAGTGAAGACCTGGCTTTTCCGGCAGGCCTGGGGCCATTGATCTCGCTCTTGTGATCTGGCGAGATCCGGCCATGAATGGCGTGAATGAGTTTTTTAATGTTTTTAATTTTTCAATGTTTTTTTATAATGATTTTTTATAATGTATTGTGAGCCGCCCTGAGTCTTCGGAGAGGGGCGGCATATAAATTTAATTAATTAAATTAAATTAAATTAAATCTTCAGTCTTTCAGTTTTCTTTGCCAATTTGTAATTTAGTCATGTGTAATAAATGAAGCCAAGGTTACATTGTCTCATAGATTGCAGAGCGTTGATCTAATGGGTGTTTAAATTCTATGAATGACATCTTAAAAGTCCAATTTTGCATATTTTAGTGAAAGAAAAAGAAGATGCACATGGTGATCCAGAAATACAACCTATGAAAGAAGATGATGGAACTCTTGGTGAATATAGGTATTACTATTTTTCTTATTAATCATACTATTTGGATTTGAAGATAATATTTTTCAGACTTTCTATTCCCTTGATAGTGAACCTATGGCACATGTGCCACAGGTGGCATGCAGAGCCCTCTCTGCGGCCACGCCAGCTGTCGCCCCAGCCCAGCTCCACCGCTCATGCACGTACACCTTCCACTGGCCAGCTGGTCTTTGGGTCTTTGCCATGCATGTGCAGGGGGTGGGGCGCATGTGGAGAACGTGCGCATGCATGCATGGGGTGGGTGGGCATATGCATGTGGGGGTGCAGTTTGGTGCAGGGGGTTTTCCAGGCCAAAACGAAGCATGGGGGGGGCCTTGCGCTGTGCCCCTGCACCCTGTTTTGGGCCTGGAAAGCCTCCTACACCAACTTAGAAGCCAAAATGGGGCACGGGGGGGCTGTGTGAGGCCCCCTGCGCCCCATTTTGGGCCTGGAAAGCCACCTGCACCAACCTGGTAGCCAAAACGGGGCACAGGGGGCTGGGGCGCGTGTGCGAGGGCGTTGGGGCACATGCATGGGGAATGCGTGTGGGAGGGGGCGCATGCACGGGGAATACGCTCTCATTGCATTTTGGGGTTTGGGCACGCATGTGTGCATTTGCATACTTTGGGCACTTGGCACAAAAAAGGTTAACCATCACTGTTCTATTCAAATCATTTAACTTAGAGTATAGTAATAACTTTCACCCACCATCTTCAGATATGATGCTATAGATGCTTAGATGCTGTTTTACTAAACGACTTTTCAATTCAGATACAGTATATATAAATCAATATGTTAAATTATCAGACATTTAATAATTCAATTAATTCTAGCAAATATTTCAGATTGCATGACATGGCATAGATCATAGGAATACACTTGAGTATTACTATTAATATATGTTAATTATTGTATTTTATCCTATAACTATTGTATTTTACCCTACTCTTATTTTAAATTGTTTTTATAGGATTTTATTGATAATACGTGTTTGAACCTTGTACGTTGATATGGCCTATAGGCTAATCAATAAATAAATAATAAACATATTGCTGACTATTAATATACAAATTTATCCAAATGAATAGAAGTACATAGTAGAGCTTTGCATTTGCATTTGCATGCGTAGTAGAGCTTTGCATCATGTATTTATGCAGAAATATATTCTATTCATCCTGGCCTTATCTGTTGTGGCCCGTCAGCGGCCTGTGCAGCTTTGCATCATGTATTTATGCAGAAATATATTCTATTCATCCTGGCCTTATCTGTTGTGGCCCGTCAGTGGCCTGTGCAGATTGTAGCTGATTCCGACAACGAGGAGGCTGGTGTGGTGCTGCGTCAGCAGCCTGTGCAGCTGGCGCTCGAATCGGACAGTGAGGAGGCTGTAGAAGATGTGGTGCCAGAGGCAGGGATTCAGCCAGGGCCTTCAGAACCTCCAGAAGCTCCTTTAAGTGAAGAGGATGAAGAGGAGGAGCCTCTTCTTAATGTACGGGTGCGCAGAGTTGCCAAAAGATAGGAGTGGCTCCTCAGGAGGAGGTCTCGAGAGAGTAAAGCTTAGCCTATTTAAGAAGGAACGCCCCTTGCAACAAGCTGTAGAGAACAACTTTAGTTCACTCTCCTTCATGTCTGCAAAATTGCTTCTGGGCTTTCTGCCAACTCTAGTAACTCTCTTATCTTAAAATTCTGGTAGGCTGTTAAGACAGTTTATTAACAGCCTTTGGTTGATAAAGACTGCATTATTTGAGTTAAATAAGCTTTGTATAGAGTTTGTGTGCACTGCGTTCTTTGGGGTCCATAGTTGGGGCAGAACATTATCCTTCCATAAAAGATGACTGAGAAATCTTGATCATATATATTATAATCATAAAATGAAGAACCGAATTATTGCACTGAAAATCCAATACTTAAACAAATTTGGTTTCAGCATTTTACTTCATTCATATATTTGGCAAATGTGCTTTCAGCATGACTTTGAGCAGAAATTAATAGATGCATGACTTTTATTTATAAAGAACAAAATATGAAAGTTATCTAAATGTCCTGAACTAAATTTATACTTTGTAGTAAAAAAGTAGACTTTACTGTTTGCCTTGGAATAAGCATGTATTTTGTTTGAAAATAATAAAAGTTAACATGTCATGTATGTCACACAACATATATGAAAGTCATCAGTCTAGATGAAATTTGTTGTCTGTCTTCAAATCTAATATATCAAAAACAAAATAAATAAATAAATACATGCCTTCTCCATAAATTCACTGAGGGAAGCTTCTTATAGTATTACCGTAATAATATACAATTTAATTTGCAGAACACTTCATCTCTTCAAAATAGCAAGTTTAGTTAAAAAACATTAAGTAGTTTTATTATTTTGGTATTGCATTTTTCTGCGGCGCAATTAAAATGTTTACCTTTTATTTATAATTCAGTGTATATTTTTCACCTTTAAATCAATAGTTATTTGATAATATACATTGTATATTGATTAGTTGGGAACGCCAAGCATCTGGCTGACCTTGACTGATTCTTTAAAGCAGTGTCAGTTTTTAGTATTTGGATGACCTATCAATAGGAAACCCCAGAATTGTAGATTAAATTGGAAAATTAACTTTGACTGAAAAAAAAATTTTTTTTTATTTTCTTACAAATTTCCGCAAGAGTTCCAGTATTTTGAACTTTTTTCCATTACTTAAGATCATTTCCCATACAATTAAACATGCTATATTTATTGAAGCAGACCCTGTTTTTGCCAAAGCAATGTCTAAATGGTCTAATGGGGAAGACAGACTTCCTTAGATTACTAAAATTGAAATTCCTTCTCTTTTTTAAATGGTCAGAGGAGAAATAGCTTGATTGATAGTCTGTGTAAGGTCCTGATTCTCCCACCTGTTCAAGAAAGCATGGACGTTCAAAACTTTAGCATTTCAAAAGAAAACTTTTATTGAAAGGAAGTGAATGCAAGACAATGCAAAGCAGGTCTGAGTTCTCCCCAGGCAATTCCGTTAGGATAAAGTGGTTAGAAACCCCTCCTCTCAGTTTGATGTTGAATGAGCCAATCCACAGGTGTGAAGATGTTGTGGAAACGTTCGTCCTGAGAAAGAGATAAGGGGTTGTTCCCATGCGCTTCTTCTGTGAGGCTTCCAAACTGAGATAAAACAGATGGCCCTCCCCCCTTGTAAATCCCCCAAGGTAAATCAAACAACAGGGCAGAATAGATGACAGGGTAAAAGTTATAAACTAGGGAATTACAGGATACATAGGAAACAGGATTAGATCAATAAGTGAGTAAAAGAATCTGGGGTCCTCTCCCCACTTGAATGGCAGTATCACGATAGGGATCTGACAGTCTGAGACTAGTAACATAAACTTCATCACAGTCATAGATCAGCTTTTATACATAAAAATATATCAATTTCCCCATAATACATGAAAACCATAATAACAGGAGGAAAGAAAGAAGAAGAAGAAATCTTAGGGTTATGGATAGATTGCATTTGTGTTGGACAACATTTGCTGTTTGTCATAGCAGCTATTGGTATATGCTATTATAGCACAGTAAGAGTGCTGTTGTAATCTGCCAGGAAAAGGAGGAGGATCATTATCTCTGTCTCAGTTTGTTTTATAAGGACCTTAATTAACATACCACATAATCTTCTTAGAAACTCTAATGTAATAGGATATGCCATGTATCCTCTGTGATGCAGAAGTCACATGGGCAGAGACAGCCGTGGAAAGAAATCTTTTCATATTTGCTCTCAGTAACTGTGAGACCAACGCATCAAAGCAAATTAAAGTAAATGTTCTGAAGGTAATAAAAACTTATGAAGCAATTCAGGGAAAATCTATATATACAAAAAAAAGGACCTATGTATGTATGTATGTATATATGTGAGCCAGCATAACTCTGGAATGGCTCAAGCAATTTCAACCAAATTTGGTACGCAGATGACTTACTCTCTGGAAACAAATTCTGTGGGGGTAGGACACCTCTGGAGGGGGGGGTGTCTGTGTGTCTGTGTCTGTGTGTTCCAGCATAACTTTGGAACAGCTCAAGCAATTTCAACCAAACTTGGTACACAGATGACTTACTCTCTGGAAAAAAATACTGTGGGGGTAAGACACCCCTAACACCCCTTGGAGGGTGTGTGTGGGGTGTCTGTGGGTGTGGGTGTGGGTGTGCTCCAGCATAACTCTAGAATGCCTCTAGCAATTTTAACCAAACTTGCTACATAGATGACTTATTCTCTAGAAAAAAATACTGTGGGGGTAAGATACCCTTGGTATCTGTGTGTGTGTCTGTGTGTATGTGTGTGTGTGTATGTGTGTGTGTGTTCCAGCATAACTCTGGAATGGCTTGAGCAATTTCAATCAAACTTGGTACACAGTTGACTTACTCTCTGGAAAAAAATACTGTGGGGCTAAGACACCCCTAGTGTGTGTCTGTGTGTGTGTGTCTGTGCCTGTGTGTGTGTCTGTGTGTGTTCCACCATCACTCACTGTGGTGAGAATTAGAGACCTAATTGTCCTGGCCAACAGCCTGGGAAAAATTCTACAGGTGATTATATGCATTAGCAGACACCTCTCTCTACAACTTGCCCTCTCTGCTTGAAGCTGAGGGCCTAGCGGGGTTATGTTTGTTTGTTTGTTTGTTTGTTTGTTTAAGAACCAATTCCCTTTAGCAGAGGGAGCCCCCTTGTGGAGTATTGTGAAGCCATTACCATGGCAACTCCATTGTGATGTACATTATTTTATTTATTTTTTTTCTTTAATTTATATGCCACCCTTCTCCGGAGACTCAGGGTGGCTTACAATGCATTAAGCAATAGCCTTCATACTTTTGTATATTTATACAAAGTCAGCTTATTGCCCCCACAATCTGGGTCCTCATTTTACCTACCTTTGAAAGGATGGAAGGCTGAGTCAACCTTGAGCCTGGTGAGATTTGAACTTGCAGTAATTGCAAGCAGCAGATGTTAATAACTGTACTATCAGGC